TTGCTTTGGAGCAAATACAGCGATGGGTTCACCACATTTTACGACATGGCAGGGAAAGAATGAGAAACACAAGGGAAAACAATGATTTACATTGATATAACTATAATATGAAGTAAAATACAACTAAAACAACAGTTGGATAGCTATTCCCTACTTTATTGGTTAGGATTTTTAATTGCATAATGCAAACTGTTGATTTTCTAAATAAAAAAAACGTACCATGCCCCGCATTCCAATGCTGGAGCAGGAAAGCTTGAAATACCTACCAAAACACTTGAATACAGACATACTGTCAGTATGGAAATGCTCTGTGCAGGTGTTAATCAAGTTAAATCCCAACAGCCAATCAGCAAGAAATGCTCTGTGCAGGTGGAAATGCTCTGTGCGGGTGTTAATCAAGTTAAATCCCAACAGCCAATCAGCAAGAAGAATAGAGGAAAGCTGCATGCCTATGGTTGATGCCCTGCATTCCATTGTGATGACTCATGCCCAAACGTGGTAAACAAGGCACACTAACACAGTAATACATTTGCTATAACACAGCCAAAAAACTCAAATAAAACCATTCTAAAAGCCTGTATCACAATAATTTAAAAAACGCCTAGGGGTATTTGCCCACTGTACCTCCATACCAAATTTCAGGACCTTGGGCCCTAAAATGAAGAAGCTGAATCCATTTAAAAAATGGCAGGAGAAGGAGGAGGAGAAGGAGAAGAAGAAACATCAGAAAAAGCAATATGGGTTCACCACCACTTCGTGGTGTGGTGAACCCATAATATTAGCCAAAGCCTAAATCTCTGCTTGGAGAGAACCAAAATCTTATGTGAGACAGAAAAAACGATGGATCATCTTTTGACAGGGCACATTGATCATCCATAACATGATATCGATCGGTACCATACAAATGTGAACGAAATACTGTGGTAAACAAACACAAACAAACATGTCATACCTGGAAGCACCAGTCTACCAGTGTGGGCCAGGTGGGTGTGACCTGTAGCCATGGTAACCGGGATGCCTGGGCGGCCGTGACGTGGCCCCCAACAGAGCGCCCGCCATCACCCCAGCGGCCGCCCCGGCGATCATGCCTGTTCCGAAGTCAGCGTTCGGGGCCGGAGGCTGCAGGGAAACAACAAGAGGGAAGGGGTTAGGGAACAGGAACACTGGATGGACAGAACTCATAAGGCCACACCAATTTAATTTCTTGGTTAACGGATTCGCCTGCTTCAGTTTTTTCTGATTTGCAAAAAAAAAAATCAGAATCAACTGCAAAATGCTCATATTTTGCCCTGAACAGTTGAAAACAGTCCTTTCCTTCCTTGTTGTTACAGTTATTCTATCTTTCAATGCTGTGGTATCATTAAAAGTTCAAAATTCATTGTAAAATTTTGAACCAGCCTGGTGTGTTGACTTCGTGGCTCCTTGTGTACCATTTTGGGCCATAATAGGATGCCTAGGCCTA